AACAGCTATGACTGAATTTTATTCAACAATAATCTGTAACCTCATGGTCTAACGTATTCATTACTCTCCCATTACCATCAAGCCAATATATCAACCTTGTTGAATGATGGGAGTCAGAGGCACAACCACGTAAGCCAACAAATGGTATCCAGTCAGTAGTTGGGCATATACCAGAATTTATTAGAAAGGATGTGATAAATTGACTTCTAGATACTAATGACCTAATTGGGCAAAGTCATTATGGATTTATGAAAACAAAATCACATTTGACAACCTGTTTTATGAGGATATTGCGAACAATGTCTATAAGGGGAAACCAGTGAATGTGGAGTAATTAGATTTTCATAAGGCTTTGGTAAAATCCCAGACAGGTTGATAAACAAAATTAGAGCACACAGGTGGGGAGGTAATACACTGGCACAGACTGAGGATTGGATGATACAAAGAAAAGTAGAAATAAATGAGTCATTCTCAGGTTGACAGGTTGTGACCACTGGTGGACCACCATAAGCAGTGCCTGGGCCCCAGCTGTTCATAATCTATGCACCTGATTTGGATGTGGACACTGAATGTATCATTTCCAAGTTTGCAGATGACAAGAAGAAGGTAGAAATGAATATTGTGAAAATGGTCCAAAGAGGCTTCAAGGTGATTACGACAGGCTAAGCCAGTGGTCAAAAACCATGGCATGTGGAATATAATGTGGACAAATGTGAGGAAAGGTCTCTGCAAACATTCCTGTGTTTAATGATGGCCGAAACCATGTAAAAAACAATGCTGAACTGCTTGCAACCATCTTCAACTAGAAGTACCCAGGGGATGATCCATCTCAGACTCCTCCTGAGGTCACTAGCATCAAAGATAGTTTTCAGCCAATTAAATTCATGATACATGATATCAAGAAATGGCTGAAGGCACTGGGGCCTGGCTACATTCCAGCTGTAGTATGGAAAACTTGTGCTCCAGAACTAGCCATTCCCATGGCCAAGCAATTCTAGTACAGCTAAAACACTAGCATCTACCAAAAATGTGTAAAATTGCTTGAAAGCATCCAGTTCATAAAAGAAAAAACAGAACAAGCTCAATCCAGTCATTATTGCCCCCCTCAGTTCACACTCTATCATCAGCAAATTGATGCTAGGTGGCTTTGACAGTACTATAAAGTGGCACTTACTGAGCAATGATGTGCTCAACTGATGCTTGGCTGCTGACTTCATTACATCCTTGGTCCAAACATGGACAGAGGCTGAATTCCAGAGGTAGGGTGAGAATGAGTAATTTTAAACTCAATCAGCATTTGACCAAGTATAGCATCTAGAAGCCCTAGCAAAACTGGAATCAATGGAAATGAGGAGGACAATCACCACTGTTGGAGTCAAACCAACAACAAAGGATGTTGAAGTCATTCATTTAAGTCCCAGGATATTGCTACAGGAGTTTCACAGGGGAGTGTCTTAGGCCTAAACTTTGTGATCTATTCCCCATCATAAGGTCAGAAATGGGAATGATTGCATCTATTGCACCGTGTCAATAGATTTTATAAGTCCTCAGATGCTGATGCAGTCTGTGCCAAAATGCAACAAGACCTGGACAACATTCAGGCTTGGCTGAAAAGCAGCAAGTAATGTTTGTCCCACGCTAATGCCAGACAATGACCATCTCCAAAAAGACAAAATTTAACCATTTCAATTGACAGTCAACTGCATTGCCATTGCTGTGTGCCTTGCATGATCACCCTGGAGGTTACAACTGACAAGGAAATTAACAGGATCATCCATATAAATTCTATGACAATAACAGCAGTTCAGAGGCTTGGAATTTTGATTTGAGTAACTCACCTTCTGACTATCCAGTGCCTGCCAATCACTAACTAGACAGGAGAGTGATAGAATACTCTGTAGTTTTCAAGATGGCGGCAGTTTCATCAACACTCAACAAGTTCAAAATCAGCCATGACAAACAAGCCAATTAATTGGAATCTCATTTACTACCTTAAACATTCAATCCCTTCACAGTGATGTACACGGGCAGTGGTATGAACCAAGATGCACTGTAGCAACTCACCATACCTTATACAACACCTTCCAAATTCACAAGCCCTATCAGTCAGCAGACGGGAACACCATCACTTGCATACATCCCTCCAAATCACACATGATCCTGACTTGGAACTAAATCGCTGCGTCAAAACACTAGCTCTCACTCCATCACAGCAGTTTGGATCTAACTATGCCATCGTGGACTATCGTGGTTCAAGTCCGTGACTTTATCACCTCAAAGATAGTTAGGATTGGACAAACAATGATGGCCCTACTAGCAATGTTCTAACCTGCAAACAGCTGGCAACGCATTAAAAAAAAAAGTGCTGGTGGGGGTCTTCCTGCTGTTGAATACATTTTTAGCTATGTGAGGCTAAGAGACCAATGGTGCTGCTGGTTTCAAAACAGTATTGCAGGCTGACTAATGATATGATCTGCCTGCTTTGCATTATGCTGTAAAAATATCCTATTTTTCAGGAATATGAGGAACGTCATGAGATTAAATGTAGCAAATGTACTGTGTGACTAGCCCAAGAAATCAATATTGTTTGATTGACCTAAAGACTATGTACTACTTGATTGGTCTGAAATCTTCACAGTATATGGCTGACTCACAAGTTGATACTAGTTAATTAGTATAAAAACTATGTACCATATGATTAACCTAAGGGCATTGTACTATTTGATTGGTTTCAGAGCTCTGCACATATATAACAATTCAGGAGTTCTACTTCCCTTATACCATCAATTGTTACAAATAACCATCTAGTGCCACTGAATTCCATTTAAACATTCTGCATGTTCTGTGACTCAGTGAGAAACAAAATCAAGGCCTGGACTAGAGGCTGTCTTTGATAACAGGGACTGAAAACTGTATTTAATTATAAATTTCAGGTTGTACCTCCCTAATCTGGCACTTTTTGGCTTGACAACCTCTGTGGTCTGGCATCTGCAGTATGGTTCCAGTGCCGAATTGCCAAAGAACCCGCAGCGCTCCGTGTCCTTCTCTCCAAAATATTTCTCTTGCTGTGCTGGTGTAAAACTTTTCAATAGATAGTTTGGGTGGGTTTCCATCTTCTACACTCAGCAGTACATTGGTCTATTTAAAGTCACTGTTTAAGTCACAAGGTCAATGCATGCACATGCTCGGTCTACACTCATTCATTTCAGTGAAGTGCTCCTTTTTCTGTTTGCAGTCATTTTGATATGTGTTGGACAATTTTGTTAAAAAAAAATGGATTTTGTTGCTCACCCCTGAGTAGGGGAGAAATAAACGTACTTCAACTTCACATACGAGCAAATGTCCCTGGTGCCTTTGGTACTTATGCAATTTTATCCCTTTCCAGGTTTTATGTTGAGGATTAAATTATTATTTCAAGATATGATTTACAGCCAGAAAATTGAACTGAATCTCTGAATAAAACGCAGAAGGATGCTGAGCAGCATGTTGTGCAGTATGTTTTGAATGTATTTAAAAACTCCCATGCTGACCCTGACACGTGCCCTCCTGTGGTCTGACAAATTTTCCAAACGGGAAAGGCCCTGTCCCAAGGCTGCTGAATTACAGAAGGACAATCTGTGCTCTCTGAGAAATCTTGCAGTGTTCACATTTTCATCACCATTGTTCCCCTGCCCTTTTCTTCTAACCTTTACATTCCTTAAAAATTGTGCATACTAAATGTGAATGTGGAACATGCCACGTCAGAATTTAGAATCTAAAGTTTTCAGTTCATATATAAAGTGGTATTGCACTTTGAACCAATTTAATTCAAAGCACTAAATGTAAGAATTACTTTGAAACAGAGACAGTTAGAACAAAAAAAAATTATTGCTTGAAATATATCTTTGTCAATGTTACCTTACAGGAGAGTAGCATTCCTACCGTTAAAAATCAAAATCTTGATCATCAGACTGCAGTTACATGTTTCATTGATCTCCAGTCAACTCTGCTCCTCCAATGGAATAAGTACAAATAAACAATGTCTTTAATTGTTAACCTTAACATCCATCATGAAATTAGATCGGAGACACAGATGCATGAATAAGACTACACCTCTGACCATCTATGGTCTGAAGTGAAATGACCAGGATTTTTGTTTCCAGAATGGAATGAAATATCATATTTATCATTTTAAATGTCAGTATTTTTCCATATAAAACAAATTCCCATTTCTAATCATTTGGGGAGTTTTACGTGTGGTTGAACCAAAGCTGTTTAAGGTAGCATTATGTACGATTGCCCTGTAACAGGTAGGATGCTTGAGTACTCTAAAAGCAGTCATGAATCTGAATTCTGCATGAGCAAGTTTTATTTGTCTAGTGCTGCAGAAAGCTCGGGAGCAGTTAGCGGATGATTGTTGCTATGGTTACCACTGGCACTCGTTGCTGCTGAAAGCTGTTGCAGCTGTTTGAATTTATTTTCAACCACCGGTAGCTCATGGGGAGCTAGTTCCATTCAGCTTATTAACTCAGGTGGAAGCACCTCCACATCTTCTGTGCAAGAAATAACAGTTATATCACATATTGGTAATCCCCACATATGTAATATATTGTTACCTATATTGCAATTCACCCTGGAGAAGAATACTCTTGATATACTTCATATAGTTGAAATGGTCAGCTGTTTTATTTAGTAGAAACACAGATCTGTGTTTGCATCCAGGGATGTGAACCTAGTCAGACTTTAGCTTATTAGATGAAACCTTTTTTCGAAATAGGCACAGTGTTTTTTTTTCTGCTGAGAAGTTTGACTATATACAGAGTAGCCTTGTATACAGAGTTTGGAATCAACATCTACTTTCCAATAGTGTAATAATCTGTCAGCAATTAAAATAGAAAGGCAGAACTGGAAAGATTCCTGTTTAAATGAAAATTATATCAATTTAAGTCATTTCATAATTTCCTTTAAATGGGCAATTCAAATTTACATAATAGTAAGTTCATACATTAACCTGGCATTTACCTTTGGTAAATCTGCAACAGCAACATAACTGGTCCCTGGAAAATCAGTAACATCTCCTTCCTCACTTTGGACTGCCTCATGTGACTGGAAAAAATTAAAAGTGTTGATTAAAATCATTGAACTTGTCCAAAATACTCATATTGTCAAAGCAAAGAAAAGCCTATTTCTGTTCACTGAGTTGAAATGTTTACAAACCATATTGTCACTTAATTGTTCATCAAGTAGTTACCAAAATTAATCCATTTTCCCCATTTTGGATTCAATGACATGCAAAGGGCTTGCAGATATGCATAAAGGCACAAAATGAGGCTCCTAGGATTTGATAGACTAGCAGAGCTTTAGAACATCATCTTTCACTTCTGGGAGCTGGGCTCAGTTCCAGCTAGATGTAGGGGAACATAGTTCCCAAGTTTATGATTGGCATTCAGTGTGATGAGTGAAACAAACAGACATGAGATCATGAGCATATGAAAAAACCTAGAACTGGATTTAACATGAGACAGCAAGACAGCTCCTTTCATTATGTTTTTAACATGTGAATGACAGTGAAATTTAGGATTCCAGAGAGTTATATAGATTTTATTTATTTGAATTTAATGGCCCTCACCAAGTGTAGCTCAGTGGAACCTCTACTGACAAAGCTGGTCAATCCCTGAAGGACATATCTGCCTGACTGGTCTGTGGCAGATGATGAGGAAACTGAGGATACTACCTATCATGTCATGTGATACCAACATTACGCTAATAGGCATAGATTCAGAACAGCTCTAGCAGCTCAAAACTAGGCATCTGTAAGGTGATGTAGGCCATCAGCAGCACCAGAATTGCATTCACACACAAGCTATAACTTCATGTCTTGCCATATCCGTCATTCACCATTGCAATCAAACCAATGAATAGTGCAACAAGGCACACCAGGAGCAGTAGATAATACCACAAAATAAGCCTCCTGGAATTTGATACTTCCACTTTCAGGTTTTCACTTCTGGAAGCTGGGCTCAGTTCTAGTTAGATGTAGAAGAACATAATTCCCAACTTTTTGACTGCCATACAGTGTACTGAGTGAAACAGATAGATACGGTATGCATAAACATGAGGTGTCAACTTGATGAAGCTACAAAACCAGACTAATAACATGCCAAACAGCAGCACCATCCGATAGACAATCAATCTAAACAATTCCACAATCAATGAAGCAGATAAAATTCTGATGGCCTGTCAGATCCAGTATGAATGGTGGGGGATAATTAAACAACCAGCCAGAGAGGAGCTCACCTTCCAACTCCCCAAAACCTATCTACTATTGACAAGGCACATGTCAGGAGTGTAATGGACTACCCTCCACTTGCCTGGATGAATACAGTTCCAATAATACTCAAAAGCTCAACACCATCCAGCTTAAAGCGGCCCACTTGTTTAGCACTACACCCATCGACTTAAAAATTCACTTCCTCAACCATTATATACAGTGACAGCAGTGTGTACAATCTACGAGATGCATTGCAGCAATTCAAGGCTCTTCTGACAACAACTATAAACCAACAACTTCTACCACCTAGGACAAAAGCAGCAGACATTCGGAAACACCACAACCTGCACAACCAACTTGAATTGTTCTTTTATTAGCTTGATGATTAAAATCCTGAAATTCCATTCCTATCAGCACTCTACCTACACGCACATGGTTCAAGAAGGTGGCTCACCAGTACCTTCTTAAGAGCAATTAGGGATGGGCAACAAATATTAGCCTTGTCAGTGATGCCCATATTCCATGATTGAAGAACAGTAGGAAGTTATATCACTAACACTAGGTTTATTTCAAGTAACTGCTGGAAAAATTAATTGAGGTGGTGAAATAGTGTCATTAGTCTCAATAAATGTTCCCTCTAAGCTGCTGGGAGATTTCACGTACGCTAAATGGTAAGCCAATGCCTTGCTATTGCTTGCAGAAGCTTCTGTCGCACATGGATCTCACAGGTCCGTACAACCAAAAAATTACAGAGAATATTGATCTCAGTATAAAACTTCACATGCCTAGCAAGAGACGGCTGAGAGTTTGTAATATCAAAAGTGTGAAATGCACATCTATTTTATGGCTGAGCGTTTTGTGGTGTCTGACTGTCCTTTCATAACCTTAAATAATATGTTTAAATTGAGCTGCATCATCTAATTGTGAGCAAGATGCAAAACTCACTGTAGTTATGTAGGTATTCCAGGAAAGCTCTTAAGCCCCTCTTCAAAGCCTTCAACTGATTGCGCCTGCTTTCTACCAACGTCTGAATTTTCTTCCTCCAGCTGCAGTATTCTCCTATAAGTACTGTGGCGATGCTCTCTCAACCTACCATAATATCTTCTCATTCCCATGGCAATTGTTCAAACTGCTTCTTGTTATCTAATAACCGAAGCACAGTGCTCTGTAAAACTAAGTAAAACACAGACGGAAAAAAAACAGGAATTCCTCTCTTATATAGTCAGGTATATATGGACCAAAGACAGGCAAATGGGACTAGTTCAGTTGAGGAAACCTGGGCAGCATGGACGATTTGGGGTGAAGGGTTTGTTTCCATGCTGTTGACTCTAAAGTAATTTGTAATGTTAAATATATAACAGCACAATGAAGACTATAGAAAACAATCTGATTATGCAGAAAACTGAACTGTCTTATGTACTGGTGATGAAGCAGGAATGGTGAATGGTAAATGTTTAATGAAGAGCAATGCCAGAAGAACGTACTATGCAAATGGAATTCAACCACCAATTGCGGTAATTCACTTGGAGTGGGCTAACAGCGTAAGAATGAATGGTAGTACTTTTGAAAGTACTGAATATCAGAGGAATCTTGGTGTGCATATCCACAGATCCTGAAGGTAGCATGTCAGGTAGGTAAGGTGGTTAAGGAAGCATATGAGGTACTAGCCTTTAATAGCCAAGACATGGAATACAAGAATAAGGAGGTTATGCTAGAACTGTATATATAATGATGGTTAGGTCACTACTGGAGTACTGTTGGTCACCACATGATAGGAAGGATGAAGTAGGGAAGGCAGTGGCCTCACATTATTGTCACTGGGCTAACAATCCAGATTCCCACGTTAATGTGCTGGTGACTTGAGTTCAAATCCGACCATGGTAGATGGACAAATCTGAATTCCATAAAGATCTGGAATTTTTTTTTAAAAAGGGTCTAATGGTGACTATGTAACCACTGTCAATTATTGCGAAAACTCATCTGGTTCATTAGGGAAGGAAATCTGCCATTATTACCTGTTCTGGCTTGCATGTGAATCCAGAACCATCATGTGACTTCCAACTGCTTTTTGGACAATTAAGCATAGAAAATAAATGCTGGCCAGCGATGCCCACTTCCCATGAATGATTAATTTTTTTGTTTAGAAGTTTGCAGTAAAGACGATGCAGAGGAGGTTTATCAGAATGCTGCCTCAGTAGGAGGGTCTGAGCCATAAGAAAAGATTGGACAGGATGGAATTTTTTTTACTTGGAACTGTCAAGTTTGAGAATGACAGAGGTGGATAAGATTACAACGGGCATAGATAGGATGGAATGGGAAGCACTTTTCCCATTAGTAGAGGGGTCAATAAGCAGTAGGCATTGATTTAAGGGAAGAGAAGACCCGAGGAAGTATTGTTCACCCAGAAAGTAGTGGAATCTGGAACTCACTGCCTGAAAGGGTGGCTGAGTCAGAAATGCTTAACTTTTAAGCAATATTCTGATTTTTCATTTTCATTGCCATAGCCTCCAGGCTGTGGGCTAAGAGCCAGAAAAAGGGATTAGTGTCATCAAATTATGGTTGAATGGTGTGGACATGATGATATTAATGGCTTCTTTCTCTGCTGTGAATGTCTATGAGTCTATAAGTCAGTTAATTGCAAAGCAAAACAATTACTTTAATTAGGTGTAACTAGGATCTGGCTGTAACAATATTCACACAATTTGTTCCCAGCTCTTTACAAATTCTATAATAATATAACATCACTGTTTATTTAATATACACAGTGCTTCTGTGGATGTTTTTAACCAATCTGTGCAGACATGTTATAACACATGTTTGGAGCAGGGGGTGACTTGAACATGGGCCTTCTGGACCAAATGTAGGGATATTACCATTGCACCACAAGAGTCCCTTCACAGTGCCTCTATATTTATGTAATTGTTCTAATCATTAACTTTCTTTAATTTCCCATTTTAATGTAAATGTGAATGATTGAATGAGGGTCATGATGCCACATCCACTGTGGCTCACAGCGCTCTACCTCATGTAAAATCTGTTCATCAATTACATAAAAAATCTCTTGGATTTCTTTCTCAGAGAATCACGTGGCCAGAGAGGCTGAAGCCTTCACCAGAATTAGCAATCCCAAAGAAAGGTACCTGTACCGAAAAGTTAACATTGTTTCTTTCTCCACAGAAGCTGCCACACTTGGTACCATTAGGCACTAGGAATATGGGCATAGGTAATGTGGACATTTAAGACCTCACAACTGAAATAAAATGAGTGTCAAGGAATTAATCTTCAGTTCACACAAGTTTACTCTTGTAATTTATGATATTACCAGAACCTCTTTATTAATTATTGTCTTAGAATCACTCCTGGTATTCATTATCCATGATGGAATATCCGCTGTTTAAATATGCTGACTTCCTAAAGATCAGCTGTAGATTCTCACATTATAAATTTAGAATGATTGTGTCAATGCAATTGTCATTACTTCCATGTACAGTAATATTAAAGATAGGGTACTCTCAGTCATGTCTGTCCTGTCATGAAATTCTGGGGAAAGATAAAACTGAATAAACTGTTTCTGTGGTTCCATCATTTACATAAATTCCTTCATGTAGATGTCCAATGGCAAAATTTAGTGTGAATTTAATGTTGAAGTGTTACAGTCATGTGGCTCAATTGGCAGCACACTGTCTGCTCAAGACTTGAGCACAAAAATCAAAGTTGACAGTCCAGTGTTTTACTGGGAGATCATAGCACTATTGGAAGTGTTAAACCAAGGCCCTATCTATCCTTTCAGGTGGATATAAAGGACTCCATGGCATGATTTTGAAGAACAGCTAAT